TAGATTGATCGTAATCACGTACTTAGTGAATCGCTCGGAGTTGGAAAATGTTAGTGTCGACAGAATGATTGGCTATTTCATTTGGAACCTAGTGACACCCAACTAATGGGACTGAATTCTGACGAAGTGGTGTAAGGCTAGGAAGGAGCAAAAACCCTCGATACCGCTGTAGCGAACGACACTGAGCCTGCATTTACGATTGCTCTCACCGTGGCGTACAGGGTGTAGAGTATACGGCTTATATCTGAGGGCAACAGGGGGCTGCGGCTGCGGCTGCGAGAGCAGTGAGGGTGCAGAAGAAAAAGAGGCAGAGATGAAGGCATAAGAGAGGAGAGACGGCAGGTAATCCCCAACGATATGGATGACACGATGAGTTATTGCTGCTGCCGCAGCCATTTTCCAGTAATCAGCTTCAGGTTGCATCCTCCATGCAGGCCCATTATCCCTTTCACCTTTCTCTTGGGTGTTGTGGATCAAACAAGCATTTAGAAGGTATAGAAATCAAAAAACCATGTCAGAGCACTGGGATGAATCACTTTTCGAAATTGAGTTGAGAGGGCAAAGCAAGGAATCTCCAACGAAAGTAGCTTGAGGGAGGATTTCATTTGCTACTAGGCACCCTCCCCACGCATGTCAGTGAGGCAGCTTGGAGTAGGACAAGATTCTAGAGCGTCAGAAATTAACGGTCCATATACCAACACTGCTCCAACCATATACACTCCATATCCCTGAGATGCAGTAGGCGTGGCTAATTATTTATTCAAATGTTGCGGCAGCGCGCCTTTGGTGGGATATTTTCATTTCTGGGACAATTATGATCATGGCCTTACCATAAGAGAAGATTACACTCCTCTCAAACTGGAAAATCTCTTGAATACTCCTTTCTACTCACTGTTCAAATCAAGCGTGTAGCCACACCTACCGCATCTCAAGGATATGGAATTTACATACAGTTGCAATCACCGCAAACGATAGGGCGAGTAGCGGGGCATGGGTCAGCCATTGCGGTCTTTCCCACCAATCATCACCCTAGCAAAATGGTGGGAAAAGCTGCCTTGGCTCCATTGTACGGCCCGTCACACGCCCTATCGTTCGCAGGGATTATAACTGTATGACTGGACATGCACCTTATAACCTGGTGATGGAGTGGGCGTGGCTGCGTACTTCATTTGATCCTACACCTAGCTGCGCTTCTTCTGGGATCTTTTCATTTTGGGACAATTGCAGTCACGTCTTTGTCCAACGGGAGACAGGATAGTAGTTGCTCCAAACGGAAATATCCCATGAAAAGCCTATTCCACGCTTTTTAGATGAAGCACGCAGCCACGCCCTCCCCATGTTCGGGATGTGGAGTGTATGTAGGCATGAAAGTGGTGCTGAAAATGTACACATCAAGTCCGAAACCGGCAGC